ACTTCTTCCTCTTCTCAATCGTTTTTACACCCGAAAGGATTCCTTCAAAATCCCCCTATTCTCTTCCAGTCCCTTCTTTTTCTCATCTTAATATAAGACACAAAACCCTAAATCCTTCAAACACCATGTCAGCCACCAGCATAACCAAAACGTCGTTGCCCTCCATATCTGGACAACAATCTTCGTCGATCCGCACCCTCCCATCGACCACTGTTGCATTCTGTTCAACACCGTTAATCTGCACCCTCCCCTTCTACCACTGTTGCACTTAGATCGTCGTTATCGATATGCAGCTTCTTATCCACCATGAAATCAATTTCTGAAGATGAAAACTTCGATTTCTCTCTCTAGATCTTCTCTACCCCAAAAATCAGGTTCACCTGGTTTTGGTTTTTGTTTCAACGGAGTCACGTGACATGAAGGAGTGGTGAGTTTTCATCTTTAGGGATCGATTTGAGTTTGGTTCGGGGTTTTAATATGACTTTGTTTTTGGATTTTGTTTTTCATTTTGATTTGTATTTGTAGTTGATAATTTTGCTTTTCATTTTGGTTTCTGGTATAAGTTATAGTTTATGCAAATTTGGTTCCTGGTATAAATATTCTGACGAGGATTTTAGTTTTCAATTGATCTCACTTTTGTAATTTTTAAAATCTGTTATCCATTTTCCGACAATGGTTTTGATTGGGTGGTGGAAGAGACCGATGATGTGGTGGTCGTTGGTGTTGCAGGAGGGGCTGTGAGGAGGTCGATGATGCCATGGAAGATATGAAAGGGTTGTGGGTGGTTGGCCCACATCTATTAAAACGTTTATTTTATATATTTTTCAATAAAAACTAATAATAAATAAAACAATTAAAATAATAGATAAGGGTATATTGGTCATTTTAAGTTGGTCTTGTATCAACGAACAACAAAATCAAACCTTTGGGACGTTCCAAGCTAAAAATTCTTTATAGAGGTGAGGTGCGGAGACTACCTAAAACGATAGGGAGCATTCATGTAATTCACCGTTTTTTGAATAAATAGGAAGCATTAGTATATTGTAATGTACAAGTTGTTAAAGCATTGAAAAGAAAAAGAACCGGCTATGGTGATCTATGCCAATGTTTTAAAACCCGGGTTTTTAGTTGACCCGGTGTGATGACCGGTTCACGGGTTAACCGGTTCAACCGGTTGAACCGACGGGTCAACCCGGTTTATGGTCTTTTTCTATTTCTATATATTTTTACTTTCATGCATAAACATATAAAACCAATAATTTGATGTCCATAAAGTTTAAACATTGAAAAACATTGAAGAAACCGCAAACGGCTCGTTGTTTTTGGCGTTTGCTATTTGTATCCAACTATCCAAACTCTACTGAAACGGGTCAATCCGGTTTAACCGGTTCAACATAAGCGGTCGAACTGCGGTTTAGCGGAAACCCGGCCGGTTCGATCCGGTTCGTATTTTTACAAAAAATCGGTCTCAATTGACCCGCCTTCTACCCCGGGTCACGGTCCAACCGGTTGAACCGGCCGGGTCGACCCGGGTTTTAAAACATTGATCTATGCCCGTGCAGTGACTCCTTTCAGGCTCACTACAGCCGATAGTGTGGTGTGCATGTACGATGAAATGTCTTGCTCGCCCCCACCGCACCATACGGTGAAGGTATACCCTCAAGTCGTAATAACTCTATTCTTAAACCATGAATCGTTATTTCTTTATTTGAAAAATCTCACTTTGTACCCGTTGAACTGACGTTAGAGGCAATTCTATTTTCGCTTTTAAACAACACGAAGCTAATAAATCATATTGTCTTTATCAAAAATAATTAATAATACTAATATTGTATCTTATTCCATAAAAAAACTGTACATCATCTCCCATTTTAACCAAATAGCTTCTAGCCAAAGCGGTATCAGATATTGTTATCTCTTCTTGAGGTCGATGGTTCAAGTCCTATCGTAAGTAGATATAGGTGGAATTAAGAAATAGTTTTAGATTTGTTGTTCAAAAAAATCTCCCAAACAATTCTTCTTATCTTCCATACATATGTATCATCCTATGTTATGTAAACAATACAATAAACTCAAATAACATTAACGGTCATTACATTGTATATATTTTTTATTTTCATATTTGAGTAATAAATATAATCAGTTGTCTTTATTATCATAATCATAATAATAAGTATATTAATTTTATTTATTTATAATCAACGGAAACTAAGTCATCTAAGAAAATAACCATTTTAGATTTTGAAAAATAGTCCCTTTCTCCATGATGCCTTATTTCATGCTAATGTTCATATTCCGCACTATTGTTCTAAATGAGCACTTAATCCTGAATGCTCCATTCTGGATTTGATCTTCAAATTTCGGAGTTATTTCTTGAAAGAAATATTCATACTTATGCACTAATATTGTATATAGTTCACATAAAATATTTGTTTAGCTTTTTTGTTAGATTTAAGTAAAACCCGATTTTGTTTCTCGAAATTCCAGAATTGTTAATCAGATTTCAAATTTGTTCTTAAAATTCCGGAGTTTTTTTTTTTCGAAGTATGAATTTTCAGTTTAGAATCCGAAATGTACCCTTTTGGGAGGAAAATTATTTTCGTTAATCTGGAATGCTCATTTCGGACCAAATAGTTATTTTTGCTAAAACAATTTTTTCTGGTTATTTTCTTTAAAAACACATTAAATTATGGTTAGATTACTTAATTTCCCTTTAATCATTTTGATCAATAATGATTAAAAATATGTTCAATGAAATGGTCCTTTTATCTCATTTTGCTTCAAATTTAATCACTTATGATAGCTAATTAGATTATGATTCCTTAAAATAATATAAATGATAGGATAAAATAATAACATGCAATTATAGTTAGCTATAAAATAATAACATGCGATGATAGTTAGCTTTCAAATATGTAACTAAAAATATATATAAATACATTTTTCTTTATCCCCTACAATATATATATTAAAAAAAAAAGAAAAAGGTCTTGTTGAGTCTACGAGAACTAGTCAAACCCATTATTATATATATATATATATATATATATATATATATTAATCGTCAAAATTGGTTTGTGAGGCAAACCACTATTCATTTCAAAATGAATGTTGACCGTAGGATATAAAAAAGTGTTGGATGTGGTAAATCATGTGGTAAGAAGAGTTTCTCCTAGGGGTGAGCATAATAACCAATTAACCGATATAACCGAATCATTTTAAAAACCGTTGGTTCGGTTTCTAATTTTTGTTAACCGATAACTAACGGTTCGGTTATGGTTTTATAGGTTAACCGAATCATTATTAATCGAACCGCTAACTTTTTATTTTAATATATAAAAATTATAGATTATATAAAATAATATAGTCAAACTTATTTAAGACCCATTAAGTTTTCAAAATATAATTCATTAATCCTCACTTATCAGGAGACAAACGAGCAATCAAACCATCAAAGGTTGATCACGCAGGCACACACAATCTTCCAATCATGCATTGAGTTAGAATATTGATTAATGTTGTAATTCGTAATTGGTTAATTCCACAATTTGTAGACATTATTCACAATTAGTTTAATCTTCACACTCATAATCCTAATCGGAGGCTTCTCACACCATTAATCCTAATCGAAGATTATTTTGACTTTATAGTCATGTTCGAAGGATTTTTTGACCTTATAATCAAGACTTCTAGGTAAGTTAAGTTTATGGTTCTTCTTGACTATACAATATATTAAGAATGTATTTTTTTTGGATTTTTTTATTTACTGTTTTTGACTTAATCACGTTGAATATATATGAGTGATTGATTTTTTTATCCAGATAACACATAATATGAATGTTTGCCTATTTTATTTTATAGTTTTTGATTTAATCGCATTGAACGTGTATGAATGTTTAACTTTATTTTAATGTTAATATCAATTATCAATATATGAAATTATTAGTGTCAATTTTGTTTAATGTTTTATTTTATTGAATGTTTTTGATTTTGAATGTGGATACGTGTTATCTTACCCTTAGTATCGAAGGTACACATTTTATTCTATTACTATAAGCTAGTTTACAAATATTGGCGCGGTGACTTTTTTGTATTCTCTTTTCAATTTTTATTCCTATATACTTTCACCATTTATATTATTTTGAACATTATGGTTAACCAATATTAATCATTAATCAAAATCGTTAACCGACAAAAAACATTAACCATAACCAATATTAACCATACCCAATGGCTACCAAAATGCATTAACCAATCATAATGGTTATGGTTTGGTTATGACCAATAACCGAACCAAACCGTCCCATATAACCCCTAGTTTCTCCAATTTCTAAAAAGTTCAATGAAAGTCACGTGTTTGACAGTTAGATATTTTATTTTGTTATATTTTTTTATTTTCTTCTAACTTTTTTATTTTCTAATTTTTACTTTGGGTATTGACTTTCATTTTACCCATATTTTTTCTTTTTATCAATTCTATTATTTTGTAAAACTCATGGTGAAAACTTATATGTACATATATAAGTTTGCGATGACCGTATTACATGCTTATATTACAGTTTTTTCATTCAATTAATTTTTAATTTTTATTTAATAGTTTTTATCTCTAATTAATTTAATAGTTTTTATCTACTCTAGTTTTAAAGTTAAATTATTAATATTTTATATATAAACATTTGGTCTCTTACTATATTTTTTCGTCACTTACATAATTTTTTAATAATCTTTTTTTTATCATTTTTTTAGGATATATTTTCAAGTCTTATTTTCCTCTGTCTCCTTCGTAAAAAATTGTTTGTATCCAACTTTTAATTTGATATTTTTTGCTCCATTTTATATGGTTTAATCGTCTCCATAATATATATATATATATATATATATATATATGGCGTTTTCAACATACCGACTTTTACCGATTTTCCGCAGCATCGCACGGATGGTCCAAACACTAGTTTCACATTAATTGTCAACTGCCGTGACAACGACTTGATTTGGACACGCTACGCCGCCGTGACGCCAAAGAAGTCCGACGCCGATTTTCCCAAAATGGTCGTGAATTCATTGAAACTGATAACGCCGTCACCATTAGCATCGGCTTCACGCATCATCTCCGTGAGTTCTTTGTACGACAGCGGTTGACCCATTTTAGCCATCTGACCAGCTAGTTCCGCCGCCGTGATGTATCCGTTGCCATCTTTGTCAAACGATCGGAAAACCTCCATGAGTTGGTCGTGATTTATCAGGACTTCCTCATTCAAATCGGGCAAAATCGCGTTCAATAATTCCTCGAACTCAACTGATCCGTTTCCATTTGAATCGATGTTGGATAACAAGGAATGGATCTGGTCACCTTGCGGCTTGAGACCAATGGATCTGACGAGGGCGGCCAGCTCGAACTGAGTGAGGCTGCCATCGGAATTCATGTCAAATCGAGAGAAAATGTCTTTCAATTGCTTGACCTGGTCTGATAGAAGGTGAGCCATTACCAGGGATAATGATCGAACGATGAGAAAGGGGAAAGTTTATCTAGGGTTTAGGGTTGGTAATTTTGAAATCGAAAGAGGGAAAAAGAGATTTCGAAGAAGGTGGAAAGATTCTTGCTCAACATGATTGAGTCGGTGGTTTCTTTTTGTTTTTTTTTATTGTTCAAGACATTTTCATGGTACGATGGCTGGAGAAAACAAAATTTACAATTTGGTCGGATTTATCGGATTAAATATTATGATAAATCAGTTTGATATTCTATATATCCGCATACAAATTGCAGCTCCCCGAGTCTCTTTGGAACCAAAAGATTCCTTAGGCAAGTGAAGACGGACCGGTGTGACTCAAAAGATTCCTTAGCGCATGATGCGGTGGAGGTGATATGTCGGTGTTCGGTGAACACCATATCCATCGGATATATGGTGTGCCGTAAAGCCCTTGTGTGTTATATCTTTCCTATGTTATTTTTTTTGTGTTTAAGGTACAAAAGCCATTATTTATATAATATTTTTTGTTTCTCATTTGCTATTATATTTTAGAAAACCTTTCATTTTCAGATCATTGGCTGGTCACCAACAAGTTATGATGAGATGTCACTTTCGTATTTTTTCTTCGGTTTGCATTTAGCCCCAACATTTTGAAATATCTTGTATGCCCAAGAGTCATTATATAATGATATTGTTAATAATATATGATCATATAAGGTCACACCTTATAGCAAATTATCATTAATTAATTATTTGTTAGTATAATGTAACACTCAAGTTTTTGGTAAGTTCCCTTTTACCCCCCCCCCCCCCCCTTTAATGCAAATTCTTTTCATTTTGGTCATTGGCTAGTACACGGGGTGTACTCTATAAGTACACTTAGCGTAGTAGCTATAAGTTGGTCGTGGGCATCACCCACGTACGCATGGTTTGGGCAAACCCTAAATTTTAGGGTTTGCACCCTATTTAAGCATCATTATATCACCTCTTGGACATTTTTAGACCAGCCTCCATCTCCTTTTACCCTGAAATCGAAACCCTAGAGCAATTTGGTGAGTTTTGAGCTTAAAAGAGTGTTTGTTGGTGGTTTGTGAAGGAGAAGGAGAAGAAGAAGAGGAACACTTGAGGGGACATCTTGAGCTTGTAGATCCAAAATTTTCTATCCATTTGCAAGCCTTTTGAGGTAAAAAGCTCTCACCTTGATGGTCTTTTGTGTTAGATCTAGTTTATGGTGAAATTTGTGTACTTGTGAGTCTTTTGTGTTGAAGGTGAGCTTTTGATCTACTACAGAAGTAATGGATGCTAGATCTTAGCTCCATTTAGGCCCTATGTTCATAAAAATGCAAACTTTATGGATGTTTATGGTTCATGTAAGTATTAAGACCTATATTAAGCTCTTTTTGAGTTTTTGAATCCCATTAAGCCATGCATGAGGGTAAAGTTGCCAACTTTACGTGATAAGTCACCTTTTAGGACCAGATCTGAGAGTTTGGCTTGAGGTCTCAACCGATTAAGTGCTTAACGGAGTAGGGTGGCAAACTAAGGAGTACGTTGGGTGTACCCAGCTGGTACGCTACGCGTACAAACCCCATATGGTGTATGCAAAGCGTACGAGCTGAGTACGCCACGCGTACTCAACAAATGGGCTTTTGGGCTTGACGTTCTCGGTATTGGGCCATGTTTTGAACTTTGTAAGTTTGGGCCTTGCTAGGCCATTAGACTTCTGTTTTGGACTTGGGGCTAGTATATTAGGCTTCAATGTATTTAGGCCCATGATGGGCTTTGGGCCCAATTTGGAAGATTGGGCCATATTTGGGTTTTGGGTTGCCAAGTAGGATTTGGGCCTTTTAGTAGTCAAGTTGGGCCTTGGCTTTAGGCCAAGTTAGATAAAGGGTAAAATGGTCTTTTACCCTGGTTATGGTCTAAGTAGTTGAGACTATTGGTTATGGGTCGAGATCCAATTAATAATTGGATTTTATTTTGATGATGATAACGCGGGATTTTTCCGGACCAGCAAACAGAGATTCACTTGAGTGATTCAGCAGCTAGAGGTGAGTTTCCTCATTGTGCTTAGCGGGTCGAAGGCACCAATGACTACCCATGGTTTATTATGTTAGGATGTTAGATGTATGGGTTACACTTACATGTGGTATGTGCTTGTATGCTTTTATGGGCAGGGGCCGATGTTGGGCGGGGCCCGATGATCTTTATGTATGCTATTTATATTTGTGATTATTGCATGTGTTATGTGTTTATTTGTTATATGATTATATGTATATCGGGCGGGGCCCGATGACTGACAGATCAATATATCGAGCGGGGCTTGATGTCGGGCGGGGACCGATGACTGGCGGAGCCCATTATGTGTTTGTTATGTATGGTATGTGATATTTTGGGGAACTCACTAAACTTTGTGCTTACCGTTTTCAGTTTATATTTCTGGTACTTCTGGTTCGAATGGGAAGAGCCCGGGTGATTGTAATGCACAAACCACCTCATTTCGCATTTTCTGATTACTTTGATGTTTCATGATGTATTGATACACTTTGTTCCACTTTGGTTTTATGATGATGTTTTGGATTATAGTTTTATTAATTTTAAAAACGAAAATTTTTGGTCTTAATTTTGGGACGTTTCATAATGACGCGCCTCCTAGCGCGGGCTAGGAGCAGGATCCCCAGGTCGACGGATCCTCCAGCTAGCCCAGCCAGGCCTAGCCTAGACGCCCCAGCAAGAGCTCTAGCGCCCAGGCGTCCCCTCAGGGCGGGACGCCCGCGCGAGAGGTGCGACACCGTCAAGAGCATCCTCGCTACAAGAAAAACACTCTAGGCGACAAAGAGTATGCCCAGAGCACTAACGTCTGAATCAATCATTGGCCCCCGACACAACAGGGGACATGATTAGCCAATTAGATTAAGGGATCCTGTCGGAACTACAGTCCTTGTTCCCGTACGGAACAGCGAGGTGTTGGGTTTTATTTCATAGATAGTTTCGTAAACTAAAAAAATATGGCAACGGGAGACTTCAAATTTTGAAATAACATAAACATTTTATACCCACCACAAATCTCCTTGCGAGTTATAAAAAGATTAAACACCAACCATATAAAAGATGAAGAAATAACCTTTGTTGTTCTTTGGGTCCTCTTGGGAGGCTTGGAAGTTGATGAAGAATGTGGAACCTTTGAGACACCAACAATGACTCAACTTGATGTATATGCTAGTCCATAATGTAACACCCCGACTCCCAGGTATGAATTTTACAGCTTTATATTCATGTATAAAGTTCTACTCGACGAGTTGGATGCCCCAACTTGTCGTGTAGGAACGGATTTGGCCGCGTGACTTAAGTGACCTACTCGACGAGTTGGAAGACCCAACTCGACGAGTTGGAGCTGGAATGAGAAACCCTGATTTCCAGGGTTTTGCACCCTATTTAATGGGTCATTAACCTCCCTCAGCCTCCCTTACTGTCCCTCCTGAGCTCAGAAAACCCTAATCTCGAAGACTCACCATTTTTGGTGTGAAAATAAGCTTAGAAGGTGGTTTTGTGAAGAAGGTTGGAAGTCTAAGGAGCTTGGAGCAAAAAGAAGCTTGTGGATCTAACTCTACTTCATCTTGGCATCATTTTGAAGGTAACAAGTCGTTACCTTGGCTTATCTTTAGCTAGATCTCTCCATGCAAAGGTTTAGGGCCATTTTCTAGTTGGTTGTGGGTTATTTCGAGTATTGGGCATGATCTGAAGTTGTAACTTTAGATCTGGACTCCTCTAAGTCCCTATAGTCATAAAGTTATTGGATTTAGCAAGCTTTGGCCCTTCTCTTTGGTTTAAACCTTTCCCTTAGCTCGGTTTTGGCATCTAGGACCATGCATGTACGTAAAGTTTGCAACTTTACGTGGAAACCATGCCCTAGGAGGTTAGATATGCAATTTGGAGCTTTGAGGTAACTTAAAAATGTATGAATGAGAAATGGGCTGAAGGGACTCGGCGAGTTGTTGGGTCAACTCGACAATTCGGATGAAGATTGGTTGTGGTGGGTTTCTACATGAACTCGGCGAGTCAATAAGACGACTCGGCGAGTCAGATAGGGTTTTCTCGACATTTGGACACGCATGGACACGACGAGTTGTCTGGAAACTCGACGAGTCAACTAGGGTTTTCACGATATCTCGAGTTCTGGAAGGACAAGAAAAGTCAGTGAACTGCACTCGACGAGTTGGGTCAACATGGACTGTTGACCGTGACCGTTGACTTTGACTTGACCAAGGGTTGACCAGTTTGACTTCTGGGGGGGGGGTATTTTGGTAATTTGGGAATTTATGGAAATGGATCATTAGTGGATGTGGGTATTGGAGTTGGAGCTATATTTGGAAGAGTTTAACATTATCATTCCGAGCTACTTGTGAGGTGAGTTCTCCTCACTATACTAATGGGTCTAAGGCACCAAAGCCGGCCCATAGGATTCGATATCCTAGTAGTTATTGATATGTTGAGTATTAGATAGCTATGCATGCTAGTTTGATATGCTAGGTGGTAGATCTGTAGGACTACCTGTGATATTGACTTGTTATCTGTATGTGCACTTATCTGTTATATGTCGATATATTGTGCGGGATGGGTTAAGGTTGTACTGTTTTGTGCTGTAACCAACAAACCCTGGAGTATGCCAAATATGAGCTGAGGGCCAGAGGAGCATGTCAGACTCATACTGAGGACTCTTAAAGCATTCCAGATATGAGCTGAGGGTCAGGGGAGCATGCCAGACTCGTACTGAGGGCTAGTTATTACATTCCAGTCCAAGGACTGCAGAAGCAAGCCAAACATACGCTGTGGGCCAGTGGGGCAAGCCAGACTAATGTTGTAGGCTCGGGAGTAAGCCAGATATGGGCATACCAGACTCATACTGTGGGCTCAGGGGTAAAACAGTCTGTTGAGCTGTGGACCCATTACATGTTGTCATTATGTGTATTGTTTGTTATGTATCGGTATATTGGGGGTAACTCACGAAGCCT